GACTTTATCAAGATCAAAAGCTTCTGTGTGGTGAAGGAAGTAATCGACAAAACTATAAGGCAACCTACAGAATGGGAGAAGATTCTGACTTAAATTTTACAAAAATCCCCACAGGTCAGGACGCTGAGAAGAGACTGAAGAAGGGGTTATGACCAATGAAGAGGTTAATATAATGATCCAGCTAGATGACAATGGTTTGGACCAGATTAGACTTTGGGTGTGTTCTGAAGGTAGACCAGAAAGGATTTGCTAATGGAAGAGAAAAAATATATAAAAATCTCAAGCACCCATGTCCATCAGAAATATGGATAAACAAATAAATAAGTAGAATCCATAAAGATAAGAGTGAAAATGCAGGTACTACTGATTATAAAACATCATGGAGAAATCTCAAATATAAAATGTTAAATAAAAGAAGGGATTCCAGATTTGTTATTTTAGTTAACTAAGTCCCAGGAAAGAAAGAAGTCAATCAGAGATAATATATGTGGGCTTCAGAAACATTTGTAATGTTCATTTTTTTTTAATCTGAAATGCTAGGCACCTGGATGTTAATGACAATAATCTTACAACTTTTGAATGTCTGAGAAATTTATAATTGCATCACAAAAAAAGAAAAACAGGACTAACTCAAAAAGATATCTGCACCTCATGTCCACTGCAGCATTGTTTACATGAACCAAGGCATAGAAATAACTAAAGAGTTTGTAGATGGATGAATGAATAAAGAAAATGTGGTGTAAATATATATAACGAGTTACTATTCAGCTATATAAAAGGAAATCCTGCCATTTGTGACAATATGGATGGACCTTGAGGTTATTAGCTAAGTGAAATAAGTCACCAAGACAAATACCATATGGTCTCATTTAGATGTAGAACCTGAAAAAAAAAGTAAACAAAAAGTAAACTCCTAGATTCAAAGAACAGACTGGTGGTTGCCAAAGGGGAAGTTGGGGAGATGGGTGAAACAGGTTAAGGTGAGCAAAAAGTACAAACTTCTACTTATATACTAAATAAGTCCTGGAATATAATGTACAGCATGAGGACTATAGTTAATAATACTATATTATATATTAGAAAGCTACTAAGAGAGTAAATCTCAAAAGTTTGGCATACAAGAAAAAAAATTGTATGTGTGGTGATGAATGTTAACTAGACTTATTGGCATGATCATTTCCTCTCTACATACATGTGTGTATGTGTGTATACATATACCCATATATATAGAGAGAATTATGTTGTACATCTGACATTAATGTAATATTACCTGGCAGTTATATCTCTATTTTTAAAAAGGGCATTTTACGGCCTGTAGACGTATAAAAAAAACCTTTTCTTTGTCTTCAATTTACTATTCTCCCTAAATTTTCTCTTCATCTATCTTACTTTATGTTTATAGACAGAAACAATTCAAGATTATTTTTCAATGGAGGAAAACAATCACATAAATAAAAAGATATTTCCAAACTTCTCATACCAGAGAATTCTTTAATTCCACCATCTAGGTGGGTCTTGATCTCACCACTTGTCCCTTTCTCCATCAATTCTTACACTTTTCAAATAGTCCTATCCCACTGTCTGGCCTCCTTGCCTCCAGTATTGGTCATTACAAATCTATTTATGGTGCTGTCAGAAGACTGAATTTCAAAAACTCCAATCAGTTCATGTCACTCTCCTGTTGAAAATGTTTAAAGGGCTTCCTCCTTCCATTTTAAAAATGTGAACTTCTTTATCATCATTACAAAGCCCTCTGGACCTATGCTATACCCATCTTTCAAATTTCATTTGTTACCTCTGTCTTCTTTCTCTCGTGTGTTCCAGCCATGAGTACTCCTTAATTTACCCTGAACAAGAAACTCTTTCTTATATTTTGGACTCTTCACAAGGGTGTTCGTCCTATCTCCAAAGCTCTACTCATTCTCTGACCTATAGCTTACTCATTACTTCTTAGCTTTGCAGTGCTGTACTTTGTTCATGATATAGTAACACTAAATTGTATTAATTACTCTTTAATGTCTTGCTTCCCTGTGAAATAAGCCACATGAGGAAAGGGATCATGTCTTGTTTACCACTATACTTTTGAGACTCTGACATCCATTCTGACACAGTGTAAGTGCTTAATAAATGTTTGGTTAAATGATAAAAGAATAACCTAACGATGTTCTTTATGCTCAATTACTAAATGTTCTGCTTTCCTAATTATATAATACCTGTCTTCTCACCAGAATCATTTTTTAGGTCTAACCAATTACTTTCCCTATGATGAATTTGCCATTAGAATTAGAAAAAATAATCATGGAGTTCCTCAATTGCTAATGGACATGAAATAAATTTAACCTCAGCAGCAGTAAAAACACAAAAGATATTAGGGAGAAAAAACACAGAATGGAAAGCTTAGTGAAAGTTACAAAAAGCCATTTAATGAAGATTTAAGATGTGTTTACACTAAGCAAATGAACTTTTAGGGAAAATAATTGGTTTGTGCATTTACTTCCTGTCAAGCTCAAAGTATATTGCAACCTGTAAAACAGTACAGCCTAGTTTACTCCATACCCTTTTTAGGATGTTCTAACATTTTTACTGAAAACTTACTCGTAATCAATGCTTCCTAAACCAGTTTATGTCCACCTTTATTTTCAAAATCATTGCCATCTCCAGCTGTTTATAAAAGTATAGTAGAAAAACAAAACTGATAGGAATATGAAAATGAAATATTCTAATAAGACAATAAATGGAATACAGAGTAACAGTATATGCTTCATATTTGAAAGAACCTCTTTGAGATATCTATTTCCCCTGCATAAAGAGATATGCTGTAAAATGCATGCACCCAAAACTAGAGTCAGGAGAGCCTTGAAAAAACTTAGATGAGGCAGCTTAGAAGGAAACAAAGCTTGTGTCTGCTCTCCTATGCATTCTAAACTCTAAACAAATGTCTAAGTGAGTAATTTTTTGTTTTTTTTTTTAAAGAGAAGTGGAAGGAAAGGTGATAGACAATTCCTTTGGAGAAAGGGGGGAAAAACGCCTAGTCAAGTGAATAAACTAACCCTTTGTCAAAGTCTTCAAGACCTTGTAGCCTTCTAAGTACGTCCTGTCAAATCCCCCATTCCTGTCTTATAATAATATCTTGGGCAGGTCCCATTTCTTTCAAATCATGTTCAGTTATTAAAAAGCTCAGTCTCACCCCATTTGAAATTTCAATCTTACCAGTTCAGGCTGATCCTCCACAGGATGTTGCAGCTCTTCAAAGTAATTCTAATTAGTAATCGCTATAAAGGGTCTTGTAGGCACATGTGAATATCCCTTTATGGGGAATGAGGGCTGTACTTTGGTATATGATCACTGATAAGAAAGTCTCTTCCACTTTCCCTCATCTTATTTACCAGTGGTACATCCTACAATCTAACTGCTTGAGTTTCCTCACCTTGTGACCAACACACTCAGATGGGGTACCAGAAATATGGCTCAGATCTTTTTAAGCTATCGGTCATGCTGTGGAAAACCCATGCATGGGATTGAAGGCTGTCTTCTAGCTCTGCCATTTTTCTCTAATTCTTTTTTCCTCATGTTCAATTAATCACAGGAAACAATATAAGCAAATGTCCAACTAAAGGATGAGATGCTAGTTCCCACTTCCTGCAGACAGCCCTATTCTCCATGAGTAATGCATAATTCTTTTGTACTTCTCCTCACATGGCTGGGGTAGGTGCAAGAGCACTGTACTCCTCTATCCATCCCCCTCTCTAATCTCCTCTTTCACCAATTGGGGGGCATGAAAGTCCCTCCCAATATAGTAAGTATTGGTGTAAAAATAGTATATTTGCTCAATTCTGTTTAGTTTTCCTAAGTTAGAAATATCTGGGAAAATTTGTTCCAGTTAACTTCTGGATGATACATAAATCAATTCTGACAACTGATTTTATTTTTCTTTTAGATGCAAGTTGCACATTCCTCATTAATCTATGATTATACTTTCAAGGCAAATGGGTATTTATTGCCAGAAAGCAAATTAACTCACATACCAATCTCCTGAGCTTTAACACGGTCAACCAAGTGTAAGGAGGACTGTTAGTAAGTACTTGAGTCTGCTCTTTGCAGAAATGTATTTAATGCAGGCTTCTGAATGCAGTAAAAGAATTTTACATAATTTTGTCTCTGCAAGTTTCCCCACCTCAAATTTTCCCAAAGGGAGAAACAAGGATTTAACTGGAATTTCCTGTGCCAGATAGAAGAGGTTGAAATTGTATTATAGTACATAATCTCTTTCTAGTTTAGGAATGTGCTGAACTGCTCTGCTCAATAACAGAGTTGGCATTAAAAACAAAAACATCATAAAACCTTATTCTACTGACAAATTCCTATTTCCTTATAAAAATGGATGGTATTTTTTAAAAAAACTAATACTAATAACTTTTAAAATAAAATTTGATTTTATTTTCATATTTTCTGTATGCATATAAGCACACCACAAACTATAGGTAAAGCCAAGAAGAGTAAGCATGATATTATGAAGCACTGCCTTCAAGGTTATAAAATGTAATCATTAGTAGAAATCCACACAGATTGCCAAATTAGTTGTTTTTATATACCTATTTTTTTTGTAATTTTTTTCAACATTTATTTTTATTTTTGGGACAGAGAGAGACAGAGCATGAACGGGGCAGGGGCAGAGAGAGAGGGAGACACAGAATTTGAAACAGGCTCCTGGCTCTGAGCCATCAGCCCAGAGCCCGATGCGGGGCTCGAACTCATGGACCGTGAGATCGTGACTGGCTGAAGTCGGACGCTTAACCGACTGCGCCACCCAGGCGCCCCTATACCTATTTTTTTATCAAACTAAATTACCTTCACATCAGTAGGAATAAAAAGCACCTTGTCACAAGGTATCTTTGATATAAATCCATTCTTCACTATGTAATAAAAGGCTTCACATATAACTTAGGTGGAAATTTTTGCCTTAGGAAAAGGATGTCATTTAGATTTAGAGTTGAAATGTTAGCTTTGCGCAGTGGCGGTATCGTAGCCAATGAGGTTTATCCGAGGCGCGATTATTGCTAATAGAGTTGAAATGTTAAATAAAATAAAATTTCCTTATTGATGCTCCATTTTCAAGAAGATATTTGTTACCTCATTGTATTTATTGAAAGTAGATTTAAAACCCAAAGGTTTAAATCTAATTAAAATTAATACATTTTATTTAATTTTATACTGTTGTGTTTCCCCAATTTAATGTCTGCTTGCTTGCACATAGTTATTTATATTCTTTACAGGGTGCTTTTCTGCAAACACACATGAATTGCATTAACTCATAATGGTCCCAAACTGTTACATTATTTAAAAATCAAGTTATTGGGGCGCCTGGGTGGCGCATTCGGTTAAGCGCCCGACTTCAGCCAGGTCACGATCTCGCGTTCCGTGAGTTCGAGCCCCGCGTCAGGCTCTGGGCTGATGGCTCAGAGCCTGGAGCCTGTTTCCGATTCTGTGTCTCCCTCTCTCTCTGCCCCTCCCCCGTTCATGCTCTGTCTCTCTCTGTCCCAAAAATAAATAAACGTTGAAAAAAAATTTTTTTTAAATCAAGTTATTTAAATTGTACTACAATCTTGCCTTTACTATCAACCTCAGGAAATCTACAGTGAAGACTGTAGGCCAAAGAAATGATTTTGACAAACTGTAGCCTGTGTCACTAGAAACATAATTGTAATTTATAGGTGGAAAGTGTATATTAGAATATACAGAAGCTTCCAAAACAGGGAGGATACAAAAGAAACAGCTAACACACAACTTTGATGCACATTTATTCTTGTTAATCTGCAGACAGAACTGACATACAAATATGGTTATCTTCTCTAAAAAGAAAATATAGAAAAAGTAATAAAACACAAGATTAAGATGTCTCGGTCTACCAGGAAGAGGCTTATGCATTCCTACTCTTGAACAACTGAACTTCCCCAGCTTTTTATGTCATCAGACACCAAAATAGAAATCTGAGTCCTAAGATTCAATCAAGTCAGTGGATGCTAATCAACTTTCTACCACTAGATGGAACTGGAAAGCTGTTTGCCATTCTTGGGAAAAGAAAAATTGTTGGAATGGGGAGAATAGAAAAATGCCATATAGCTTTCAAATATTTTTAAAAAAATTTTTAAGTTTATTTATTTATTTTGATAGAGAGAAAGAGAGTAGGGGAGGGGCAGGGAGAGAGGGAGAGAGCGAGAATACCAAGCAGGCTATGCACTGTCAGCACAGAGCCTGATGCAGGGCTCAAACTCACAAACCATGAGATGATGACCCAAGCCAAAACCAAAAGTTGGACGCTTAGTGGACTGAGCCACCCAGATGCACCAGCTTTCAAACATTGTTAATAGTGACCTTAAACAATGAACACTCTTTTGAAAGGGATCTACTTCAAGAAAAAATGAAATACAGCTTAAACATTAAATCTAAAGGGCCCACTATACTTGAAGGTGGGCCAAAAGCCATTGCCCTTACTCCAATGTGATTTTCTGAAATGCTCACTTAATTCAGAAAGCTGCCTAATTATCACACACACAAAAATCCTAAAATTCTGTAAAGATTTTTCATCTACTTTTCAAACTGTCAGGTGAAAAGGTAAATTCTTCTGTCATAATGAATGTCATTCTCAGCTCTTTCATGCTACTGTGAAGTCATAGCCCACTGATTTTAAACTGTTCTCCATCAGAATGAATACAAATTCATACCTGAAGTGCACTTACCCCTTTCTTTCTCAGAACACAGCCTGCTTGTTTACTGAAAACCATACACTCAGCTTCTAATAAAGTACTTTGTGCCCTTGTACACATATATAGTGCTACTCTATCTATCCCTTTAGTTTAGAACACCATTGTGAATTTCCCAGGGAAGTTATATACCATAAACACTAATATTTGGGGATATAGGAGTTTCAGAAGCTCCTGCTGTTATTATCTACATTTTGCCATTTGAGTATCTTTTTTTTTTTTTTTGCCCTTTTAAAATTATTTGTAACTAGGAGATTTGTTCACTGTTTTCCCATGTTGTCATTTGATTTATTCTCAAGGTATGCAAAGGTAATCTTACCACAGAGAGAAGATATTTCATTAATAAAATAAATCTAGGGGAAGTTTATAATATGTCCCAAATCCATATATAAGCCATGTTTACATTGTGTCCTACCCTGTATTGAATATTAGTCTTTTCTCATCAGAATGTACTTGTTCTCGGGGCGCCTGGGTGGCTCAGTCGGTTGGGTGCCTGACTTTGGCTCAGGTCATGATCTCACAGTCTGAGTTTGAGCCCTGTGTTGGGCTCTGTGCTGACAGCTCAGAGCATGAAGCCTGCTTCAGATTCTGTCTCCCTCGCTCTGCCCTTCCCCTGCCCACATTCTGCCTCTCTCTCTCTTTCTCAAAAATAAATAAACATTAAAAAAAATTTTTTTAAACAAGAATGTACTTGTGCTTTGCATTTCCCAAACTTCTAACACAGTGCCTTATACTGTATGGATGCATGCATTTATTATTTATACAATGAATTAATGGCCAAAACATAACAATATTTTAACTCAGTGCTATTTTTAGCATGTTATTTCATCCAAACCTCAAATTTTAACCAAAAAAAAAAAAAAGAAAGAAAGAAAGAAAAAGCTTCCAAATCTTCAGCTTAATGCAGAGTTTTAAGGTATTTCTTAATGATAATGCTCTGAAGCTTTATCACTATAATCAGTATTAGGCACTGTCTATTGACTGCCTTCTCTGAGGTATGAGACAAAAGAATGATCTCACAAGAGAGTCCCCACAGGTGCTGTTCAGATAACGATACTACCATTTTTAATTCCTCTTTGGGATTCCTCTTCCAGAGTTATTCTGCAACTCTAGTGTCCACAGAGCAGGTTAGTAAAGTAAATGCTTAAATCAGGCCAGATGTGACACAATGGGGAGTGTGCAGGCTTGGGTGGGTTGGCTGTTACATGCCTGCTGAAAAGGCAAATTCAAAAAAAAAAATATTTACATCAGGCTGGTGGCCAAATAAAACCTATCTGCTAACATAAGTTGGTTCATTGGTGATTAGGTTTGAAACTTCAGAATCACTAGTTACATTTTAACTTTAAATAACACACTTTAACTCTGTTACACTAACTATATCCAGTCTTGATTTCCATTATGTAACCTGAGGATATTAATGACCCTCTTCCCTTCCACATCTTCTCCCTACTTTTATTCTAAACCGTTATTCGCTGTACAATTTTTTTCTACATTGTTGAAATTACAAATATTTATACTTTGTTCACTAGCTGCAAAAAGTCAATGGCTTAAGATTAAAAACAGAAGGGCATCTCAGTGGCTCAGCTGGTTGAGCATCCGACTTCCACTCAGGTCAATGATCTCATGGATCGTGGGTTTGAATTTTGCGCTGATAGTGTGGAACCTGCTTCAGATTCCCTGTCTCCCTCTCTCCCTCTCTGCCTCTCTCCTACTAGTTCCCTCTCTCAAAAATATACATTAAATTAAAAAAAAGAGAGAGGACATGTTGTACACCTTAAACTTACACAATGATTTTGTCAATTATACCTCAATAAAGCTGGAAAAGAAGAGAAACTGTGCTGTGATCACATTATTATGATTATTACAACACAGTTCACTTAAGAGCTAAAGGGAATTCTATAATTATGAAAGCTTCACCATAGTACCCTAAGTTATTCAATAGTGACTATTTTAAAAATTACTCTTTCCTTACCAACCTACATGTTATTCAGTATTATGGCACACTTTAATTGGCTTTATTTTAGTTCCTTTTTTTTCTCGGAGTTTATGATTGCCATTTTTTTGTTGTTTTGTTTTGGTTTGTTTCGGTTTGTTTTGTTTTTCAGCTGGGAGAGAAAACAGATACCTCCTTTGCCACATCACATTGTGATGTAGCTTTTAATCTAGTGTAGTCTTTTTCTGAGACCCAGTGTCTGACTTTTCTTATCTTGACCATAACTTTTAGGAATTTTTGGTTTTAGCTATGATGCAGACATGTGACCTGGGTCCCATCAATCAGACACAAATGCAGGATTTACTTTGGTAGAGAGCTAAATGAGGAAACGGACGGGCAAGTGGCATCCGTTTTGTTGCAGAGGTAGTATGGTTCTAGGATTTTTACCTGGTTAGTTGTGTGGAGTAGCAGGGGAAATTGTGTGTCAGTTTAGCCAAGATAGAGGTCAACTTTCTTGCTCAGTGTTATCCATATTCCTCCATAAATCTCTTTACAATTAAACTTGTTAAGTAGATACTCTTGTATAAAGTTAAGAACACTAGTCAATACTAAGATTTCCCCCCATTTGTACAAGTTTTAAGAAGTTTTTCTTCACCATTATTGCTCTGTAATTTGGCAATGCTATGTATGCATCTAGGTATAGTTCTTTTTCATTCATTATAATTTACAGCAAGAGACTCTTGTCAATTTAAAGATCTGAATCTCCCTTATTCTGTCATAATTTCTTACATTCCATTTTCTCCATGTTCTCTGGAACTTCCACTAAATCAGACATTATTTCTCTTGGATTGACCTGCACTGCAAATCCTTTTTCTTATGCATTCTATCTCTGTCCTTTTATCTGCAATCCTCAAACTTTCTATGATATTTCTTTCAAAACTTTTTTTTTGAAAAATTTTTATTTTGGTATAATTGGCATATAACATTATTCTAAATTTAGGTATATACCATAATGATTTTATATGTGTATATATTGCACAGTGATCACCACAAAAAGTCCAGTATCCATCATCATACATAGTTATGAATTTTTTTCTTGTGATGAGGACTTTTAAGATCTACTTTTACCAACTTTCAAATATGAAATCCAGTATTATTAACTATAGTCACCATGCTGTATATAAAATCCCCATGATTTACTTATTTTATAACTAAGTTTGCATCTTTTAACTCTTTTCACCCATTTTGCCAACTCCATTGCCCACACCATGACAACCACCAATCTATTCTCTGTATCTATGAGGCTGGCTTTCTGGGGGTTTTTTTTGTTTTGTTTTGTTTTTTTAATTCCATATATAAGTGAGATTCTATGATATTCATCTTCCTCTATCTGAATTATTCCACTTAGTGTAGTGCCCTCAGGTCCATCATTGTCACAAATGGCAAGATTTCAT